CTAATGAGAATGTCGGTACAAGGTTAACACTAATGAGAATGTCGGTACAAGGTTAACACTAATGAGAATGTCGATACAAGGTTAAAACTAACGAGAATGTCGGTACAAGGTTAGCACTAATGAGAATGTCGTTACAAGGTTAACCCTAATGAGAATGTCGGTACAAGGTTAACACTAATGAGAACGTCGGTACAAGGTTAACACTAATGAGAATGTCGATACAAGGTTAACACTAATGAGAATGTCGATACAAGGTTAACACTAATGAGAATGTCGATACAAGGTTAACACTAATGAGAATGTCGTTACACGATATGCACTGATATAATGCCAGAACTAATTTATTAGGTCGATACAAGGTAAATATTTATTATAATGTCGGTACAAGATGAAGATTAATCACAATGTCGATACGATGTTAGAATAAATTAGAATGTCGGGACAAGATTAATACTAATACTAGTTAGGTCGGTACAAATTAAGACAAATTGGGATGTCGGTACAGGGTGAGGATTATAAGAATGTCGGTAAATTGTAAACACTAATTATAATGTCGGTTCAGGTAGTTAGGTAGGTACAAGGTAAATACTTATTATAATGTCGCTTCAAATGTATGGTCTCTTGCAAGGTATGTTTTGTTTCTCTCAGTATTTGATTTTTGCAGCATGCACATTCAAGAAGCTTGTGTTCCGTGGAGCCAGTCATATCATAGGCGGTACTGGCGGTATCGCCAATCTCTGGGATTCCAGTTTTACTTATAACGAGAACAATGCCGACGCTAGAAATATTGGGTATGGAGGACATTATAAGTCAAGCGAAGTGGACACATGGGACACATCGACATTCAACAAGGTATGGATTTGCATGTTTTGAACTAGAATATGTTTTCACTTAAAATGTCAATGTTATATATTTTAGGCAGACATCATTATTATTGTCTTTGTGTCTACAATAAAAAAAAACAAGCTCTTTAATCAGCTTTTCTTACAGCAACATCATGCACCATTCTTAAATTCGCGTCACATTCCAAATGCATAATACTCTGTAAATGTTTTTTCCCTCCTTGCTCCTATCAACAAATCCGTATATATCTTAATCAGAACTTTCCGAATGACTGATCAAGACATATAGCCAGTTAGAAAACCTGATTTGGTGATCTGTACAAAATTGTTCCGGGGGCACCTTAGGGATTTATCAAGTTACAAAACAAAACACCAATTATAATTATCTTTTGCATTGTCTGTCAACACATTCTTATACTGTCCTTATTTTTGTATTGCACGGACATGAATCACCGATATCAGTGTAAATTCGCCATTCCATGCCCATATACAAAAAATAAGAACGAGGATAAGTGCCTTGCTGCGATTTCTATCGTGTGATAGACTCATTGCCAACCTATTAACCACCGACAATGTAATATTTACTCCAGTACAATTGTAGTTATCCCTAATGCTATAAATAAAATGTTAAGTCAAGTCTTATATTTACATTTTTATCCTCGTTTAATTTAAGAAAAAGATATTTTGCTGAAAACAACTTCATTCTTGTAACAGCATATACTTCCATTGTCTTTGATACCATAGCAACAAAACACCACTAATTACAATCATGCAAATATATATCATAAAAACAGAAAAAAATGTATAAAAAGAAAAAATCTCAACAACGAGTCTTAGTACTTTCATCTCGACAAAGAGATTCTTCAGACAATTTATTGAAGTAAATATTATGACGTCATAAACTATGACGTAACATACCAGTTCGCTGATACATAGCGAAATCACAGCGATGTAAATACATAATGCTGGTCTAAAGTTAAAGAGTACTATTTGTTAGGATTTAGATTTACTATTGATGCTATTATTTATGAATCAAAAATAACAAAATAAAACATTCCCTGTGAGGAGCGAACTTCGTAACATTATATTACTGATCCGACACACTACCGATGTCACTATAACGGATCAAATACGGTAGCGTAAATGTTCAAATATAACTCTTCTATAGACAAAGAAAAAAACCCGATAAAAAACACTGATCGGAACACGCGTATGCGCATCCTTTCAAATACAGAAGTACTCTCTGCCTGAAACGTGTCATGAAGTAAGAACATTATAAAATAGTAGTCAAACAGTATTGTTTAAACGTGGTCTAAGACGTCTGATGAATTCAGCTTCCTTACCCTCACGTTTGATTGTTAAAGGTAGAGAGTACTTCTGCATTGATTATTGTTATATTATTGTATTTTGTATTACATGGTCGGTTTATTCATGTAAACATAATATAACTATGTTACTACGATACTACATACGTCGCCAGTGTAACCCATGCAGTTTTTTAATATTAATATATTTTTTAGAATATTAAAAACATATATATTTGGTAGACTTGGCTTCATCTCTTAAAAACATGCAGGCCATACAAAGTCGATGTGTCACGTATGGACCATCCATAATGACATTCAAAAGCCAATTACAACAAATATATACAGTACTTCATCCGCTACTATGATAATACCCAATATGTGGTGCTAAGAGGAAAGTACATAGTTAAGCATTATATGTTGATAATGACCTTTATCACAACAATGACAAATGATATTTACCAAGAGGCAGCACAATACATGTACATAACAGGACACATTTAACGAATTGAATTTCGACTAATGGTAAGGACTTATAGTACAATATTAAGGAATCTGTGTGATTGAAATATAACATCTGATATATTTGTGACAATATGTTTGTTTTTGGTGTCATTACAATTGCCACAGCCATGTAGCAGGACCTTTATACTAAGGTGATTGTGTACATCATACATTGCGATTCTGCTGTAAAATGTGGCGAATATTTATTTCTATTTATACCTATTACACTCCAGAAAATAGTTTGACACAGTTTCATATTTTGGTTACATTCACAATGAGGAGATTCAATCAAATGGTCTTAATAAAGGTCGTAATTTAGATAACTTTCACCATTTCTTACAGTTGTGTGACCGCACAACGCACCAAAAATACCGTGCGCACACCGTGCATACTTCGTTCACACACCGTCCGCACATCGTCCACATATGGTGCGCACAACTGTGCGATTTAACAATCGTTCGTCCCGTTGTGCGCTTCTCTTCGCACAACTGTGCGATTGGGTACAATTTGTAGATCAATTTTACGGAATGAAAAAAATACGGAAAGCTCGTATGCAATAATGAAAACTGTATATATAACTTTAATTTCTCATCACAGTCATGAGGAGTATGTACAGTTTTACAATGCGTGTTACACATCATTACAGTGACCATTGAATGGGTTTGGCTCCAAGGTAACAGAACAGGTAAATAAAAATTCGATGAGTGACTGGAGTTTTACCTGGCCTTGACCTTACACATAGAGCTGATATGCGATACCGTACGTTTAGTATTTGTTATTTGTATTCGGTTTGCCTATAGCTCCCCTTCACCTGGGTTTTCACACCTTTGGCCCTACCCGACGAAATACGTAAGCGCCCCGGGCGGGGGAAAACAACGGTCCAGGTACATGTACAAAGTGGCTATGTTTACCTGTATACGGGACTGTGTTGTAATTTCATATGTGTCGATTAAGGTCGTTTGAAAAATACTGAAAACACAATTTCTAATTTTAAGAAAATATAGACATAAAGATAAGCTTATAGATGTAACTAGAATATAGAAAATTGTATTTCTTTACACACGAAACCGTATATATTGTTAAGGCATTCCTTAATTTACACCAACCACGATTGTTATCGCACATCGTTCGTCCATCGTGCACACAAATGCGCGCAAGCAATGATCGTCCAACTTTTTATCGTTCGCACATCGTGCACACATCGTTCACACATCGTGCACACACTGTGCACACACCGTGCGCACACCACACATCGTGTAACGTTGTGCGATCCCACACCTGTAGCTGGCAAAGAAATACGTTTATGTTGCGATTTCCAGAAAATTTGCAAACATCAGTTGTTTCAGATTGAACATTATGATTTTGACATAAACAGCGTATAAACTGCTTAGTAGAAAATATATCATGAATACCAGGAGCAATTCTATAAAATGCATTAAACATGTAAAGGAAACAACTTTCATACTAATTAAGAATACGACATAATGGGATATAAACTATTCTAAAAGTTCTCAAAGGATATCTATCTAGATTATCATCATGGAAGTAGGGTCCAATTATTTCCTTTGGGTAATTTGGTGTTTCATTATTCATAAATATCAGGGTTTATTTCTTCTATTATTTAATATTTCTCATCCAATCTTTTGATAGAATATATCATGTGATGTCCCTCAGCGTTGCCTGTAACTAATATGGCTGCCTCTAGCTGAGCAGATTCTTTTTTAACTGGAGTACAAGTATCGCACACTACATCAGCATTGTCCAGTATAGGTCTTATGTCAGATGTATATAAAGCATTAAGAGATTTTCTATCTACTTTTTCGCTGTAATAATCTCAAAATATTTATCTTTTTAAAGGTTTTTCATAGATGTGAAAAATAGGAAGATTCATTATAGTATTTTCAGGTATTTCAGGTTAGACTTAGATGTTTACGTATTTTATATTCTATAATTGGTTCGTCACCAGGACCAGTTCTATTTAATCTATGAAAGACATTTGAGTAACACTCAATTGATATTTCAGAATCTGGAATTTTGGGAGTAAGATGTGTTTCGGTTATACAAAGCATATCGCTTTCATTCTAGTTCACATTTAATAATATCAGTTTAATATCGTATATTTCTTACAGTGAGGTGAGATATTGCGCGACTACGTAGAGGACCTGGGTTAGAATGTATATCATTAGAACAAATCAGTAATTTGGCATCTATCATTAAAAAGAAACACAAGTTTTCTTTAGACTGAATAGATACTGCGAACATGTATTAAATATGTATATATAAAAACATTTAAGTGTGTTCCTCCTGGATCTCATGTGTGTCCCATAGGGTGTTGGTGATGTTTTATCAGTAATCATTTAACACATTTTCATGACATGAAAAGGACACATGATACATGTATAGCAAGTATCTATTGGGCAAAGACAAAATACTGGTCAGACACAGATGGGTATTGGCAATATTTATAAAAAGAAAGGGTTTGTAAAAATCATAATAACATGAAACACATATATTCACATAATGAATAATTACATATACATGATAAATTCTGAGCGAGTCTGTTTTACAGCATGGATTCGGACTACAGCAGTGTGACATGTACGACTGTATATGTCCTATAGATAATAGGACAAGCTAAATCAATTACGTTCTTCAATGTGTTATGTATACATCAATTCAATACAAACATTACATTGACTATGATGGAAGAGAGATATGTCTTGCTTACCTTAAAGAGGAATAGACTGTGTATACCGTCCATATTTGTCAAAGGTCTGAACTATTGCGAGTCTCTTTCCTTGCATTGAAACGTGAAATTAACGATATTGATAAAATTTGAGAAAGACTACGCCAGTTATTTGGCAAAAGGAGGTGACGTAATAAGCATCATGGAATTCGAAATTGAAAACCAAACTCAAGTTCGTATTTGAAGACCCAGATAAATAAACAAAACTCAGTTATTTGCATTAACATTATGTGGATGTGTCAACAGACAAATTTATGATAACTTATTTGAGCAATTTAACAGCATTACATTTCCTACTTCCAACAAGAAACAAGCGTGTTGATAACCAAGAAAATATATATAATGCAAAAGACGCAAGTTAATCATGCTTTACTTTTTTAATGTTGCTCAATCACGATATTATCAAAACATTAATCATCAGTGTTTCTGTCGTATTTTGACTCTGCGTACCTCATAAATAGAGTTAATAGATTAATGATGTATTTGTTTTCTGTTTAAATGTTTGCCTTTTTTACTCTATACGCTATCACACCTTATAAGAAACTAAAAAAGATAAAAACAAAACTTATCATGTTCTCTTAATATGAGAGCTCTTACAACCCTAACCCATAAAGGCACACGGCAAAAAAATACTATTACATGTACAAGGTTCCCAGCTACATGAAGCATCTTTGCAATGAAAAAACACACCAAGATGAACGAAATGGTTTAATAATTGAGTTTGGTTGGCAATCGAAAGGAGGCAGGTAAACCATCATACAGCTTTTAGCACACGAACGCATATGCACACATGTAATACACATATGGGGACACCTCCGTATTGACATTAACCATAAACGGACAGTTAAATCTTATATAACCTAACCGATCTCGGAGTATCATGATTTCAATGCCGGATTTTATCAAAGGATATAACTAATCATTCTTGTTGGTCGGTAAGTAGCGCACATGGGGTCTCAATGTAAGAGTAAAACAGGAGAACGGGGAGAATGACCAAATACATTTTAAATCCGATCAGGGAATCAAAACCCGGCTATTTTGGTAAAAGGCGAGTGGGCTATCTACGGCAGCACCCGAACACCTTTTTTATTGTTTGTTACTCAACAACCATATACACTCAAACACGTACTCTTTACTTATGTAGTTCTTTAATACGCGAATACGTATGTGTTTTAACATGTTGAACTCGCACTAAGCTTCCATGTGTATGTACATGTAAATATATGTGTCTTAACATTTGTTCATACTGAACACATGTTTTGTAAACGTCTGGGTATTGCATCAATTAAGGTAATAAACTTCTATCCGCTGAATACATTCTTTGGTCACTTTTTTACGGGATAGTGTTTTGCATAAATGAATCTGTATTTTTCTGAAGGAAGATTTTATACATTGTATATGTTTATTACATATATGCCAATGACTAATCACCGCCATGTGTACCGCATGCAGTCCTTGCGAAATACCTTCAGAGCAACCAACCCAGTCTAATGCTCAGAATAATCATATGTTTTATCTCACAGTGACTATACTCCGAGGGAAAAGGAACGTCCACGACGAAAGTACAATTTCATTTTTATTGAAGCCAACAGACTATGCAGGACATCCATTCTAAGTATAAGATCGGGGAAACACGTGTCAGCGTCTCCAAGTACCATGTTACTGAGGCCAAATGATTCAGAGAAAGTACAAAATAATCAGGGCCATTTTTTACAGTGATTAAGTATAACTAGAGTAAAGATGGTGTTATATGTCATCATCAGGATAAGTGGTTACACAACTTTGCATGTTACCCAACTCCTCAGCATTTGAGATTCGGCACTAAAAAGTATTAACATCGCGGAGTGATCTTAGTTTATATGCCGGAACTGTTCCGCCACTCATTCAGGATTGATGACAGACAGATAACGGGTTCGTGATGAAAGTTTTTATTCGTTTTTAACAAAACACCGTAAGAACTACAACATACAGAAATACAGCAATTTCACACACTGGAAATGCACAAAATACCCAGATTAAATATTGGAAATATGATGCAAATAAAGATCGTAGGTGAATTTGACAAAATGTCCTATTAATATACATGCACAATTCAAGTTGAGTGCATTACCACATTGCATAGGATGATGTACTATGTTATCATTGAATGGTCTCTGATAGTATGCGAAAATACCATCGGCAAATATTATTACATTGATTTAAAATCAACTGTACAGGCTTGTTATTATTGATACAGCAAATTCCCTTTTATTACAAAAATAATGCAAGGAAAATTTGTTTAATGATAGAACAATCTATTACAATTTAGTTCAGGGGAATTATAACAGTACTTATAAACTTACGCTGTGGCGACACCAAGGTCGAACCAGTTACAATGATGCATGGCACCGGGACATTGATAAGTGTAGACAAACTCTCTACAAGAATATATATGAACACTGTAAGATATATTACAACCTGTTACAAAAATGGACAACTACATCACCGGCACCTTCATAAGGGGATCTAGATTAATTGACGTGTCTACTTCATTACTGACAACTACATAACAGGCACCTACATTATAAGATTGACTAGTGTGCCTATTTTAATACTGATGACTTGAAAATGGATATTAAATAACACACAAACTTTCATATTACATATAGCTACATATACAATCATTGTTCAGTCGTAGTTCACTAACATACTAAACATATACAATAGCTATCCACACGTGTTGCATGACAGGAAGTTGGGGCGAAGTCACTTTCCGATTGAACCGCTTCACCGCTACATTACGACAAAACTCAGGAATGCCACATCTTGAACATGGATTGATTCATTTCAGGCTGATCTATAAAACGACAGATATAGTAAAATTGGTTCTAATATCATACAAACTTACAAATTTCACAGATGCCACCTTCCATGAAAACAGGCGGTATTTTTCTCTTTGAAGTACGAAGCCTGGAGTAAAGGGAGATAAGTTTAGGTAGCACAACACAATAAGGGCTGCCGATCCAGCACAGGGACAATACTAAACTTTGATAGTAATTGTGTAAACTGTGATTAAATATGGACTACAGTACCTACTATATTAAAATAAATAAATAAATAATCTATATTTTATTAATTCTTTCTGACATAGAATTATCATTTGTCGCTTAGGATTGTCTACAGATGCTAGCGGTAAAGGGATTCAGTTCAAGTGTTGTCAGCTTGATGAGTCGCGTCGCATGCATGGGTTTTGTTGATAAAAAGGTAATAAACAGAAAACCAAAATTAATAGTATCTTCAGAAATACCAAATGCATTTCAATTGTGTTGCTAATATTTTTGTTATTACTGAAGACACTGTTATTATCCTCTATATTATATATGTATATGTTTTATTTCTAGGTCCGATTGGAGGTGATAAAGTCAGGTGTTGAACAGATGTACTTCGAATTCAATGTTGCTGGGACTAATAAGTTAAGTTGGTTTCACAGAAATCACCTCACCGCGTCTTCGATTGATGTGACTGACCAACTGCTCATATACATCTACAGATATACACATTATGGGTAATGTATATTATGTTCTGTTACAACAGAAACTCCACTGATCATTTGAAACAAAACAAAGCGGTATTTGTCCTGCATTAACATTTCCCCTAACTAATCGAACCAAACTTGTGATTTACCATAGCAGTTTATATAGAGGGCATGATGTTATGTATTATACAAATGAACATCTCAGTGAATAACTGATTCCCAATGTAAACTTAACATTTAAGCCGTGGTTTGTTTTCTGTCCTGTATTATTTTGCTATTTGTCTATTATGGTTGTATATCTTTGGTATCGACGAACAACTTAACGAGTTTTTTTCTATATTGTCACGTCAAAGAGATAATGTTTTAAATCTTAATGTAGCTGTTTTGTTTTTATGGGATTTAAATGCTCAAAGAAATATTTGAGCATTTAAATCAGCTGCATAGAGCTGCTTTCATTCATTATATATTGCCAAAGTGAAAACGAAAATACATATAAAACGGTTGTGTTTTGTTAGACATGCCCTAGCATCACGCGGTCTCTGCCTGAGGGGGGGGG